TTGTCAGACATTTTTGAAAAAAAAAAAATTTCCACATTGTATTTTAGTGACTTTATATGTAAGATGAAACTGTCCAGAGAAGGGAGAAATCCCTGGGCACGGAGCAATCACCAGAGAGTTCAGAATCATTCTATGCCTGGGAGGAAGGGCATTTTTATGCAGGAGGCATGGAGGGGAGGGGCTCCCGTGGAGAGGCCGCAGTGTGGGGAGGAGGCCTGAGGGAGAGGTCGTGGATTGATCGGACTAGGCATGCGTTTGTGTTGAGGTACTGCAGAAACCAGTTCACACTCAGTGTGGTGAGACCAGCCAGTGGAGAGCAGTTGGCCATGACTCAGGGGCAATGTGGGATCATGGTAGATGCCCACATGCTGATACCAGTGAATGAGGAAGCGGCTGGAGGATGGGCAGAGAAGACTATTCCAAGACTTCAGAATCCATTCCCAGGTGATTTAAGATTACAGAGAACATGGAGGGTAAACTAAAACAATCAACACATGTATTTTTTGGAGTGGAAAAGGTTTTAAAGCATAGGAAGGAGTTAATAAAAATGGTCTTTTAGAGATGAAAACATGGGTCATGACTGGTTTGGGGAAACAAGAGAATGGTAATTAACTGTAATGACGTACGTGGATTGCTGCCTAGGGGAGTTGCTTTCTGGGTTTACTCTGCTGGTGGTGTTTAGTCCACACTGCATGGTTCTATGCCTGAATCTCAAAGAAGTGACATAGACTCTAGTATCAGACATACCTGTGTAATACTCGAGATACATAGGAGCAGATTTCCAGTCATCAACCCACAGGCTTTGAGACGAGCTCCTGGCCCAGTCTGTGGGTTGGAGACTGAACCCATCTGTCCACACATGCCTTCTCTCCTGGGCCCTGCTCTCCTTAGATCCCCAGCATTTGGGCTGCACACAGCTGGCCATATTTGTTCCCTAGCAGAGAAAGGATAAGGCTGGATGTGGGTGGATGGGTGGGTGGGTGGGGAGGGGTGCCATTATGAATAACAATGGATACCATGGAAATGCTTTGGGAGCATTCCATGTAACAAAGGAAGCAAGAAATTAAATAAAAGTGGAAGATAGATGAATCACCACCAAAAATAAAAAGGTAGATTATTCTCTCTCTCTCCCCTTCTTTCTTATTTAAAGATATATACCTATACACACACACACACACACACACACACACACAGCTAGCGCAAAGCAATATTTGCATTGCAGTACTGAGATAAAAGCAGATTGCAGAATAATATATAAAAGACAATTCAATGTTTTTTAGGTAAAAATGATCAATTACTGTCAATTTCATGTAGTTTCCTACTATTACATATGTACAAACATGTATATGTGCACATAATATATATATATGAAATCATAGGGGAAAAAACCTAACAATAACAGTGATTATCTCTTGGTGGTAGAATTAGGGTTATTTTTTTTCTTCGCTTCCCTATGTATTTTTTGACAACTTAAAACACTATTAAAAACAAAACACTTGCATCTTTAAGTTGTAAGTACACAAATTGCTGTAAGACTGAGTTATGATGACAGCTTATCAATTTCCATTTACCCAGAGGGCACCTTTCAGTGTGTAAGTTAGACCCCATGACAGTCGTTGGAGTTTCCCAAACTACAGCTCAGCTGCCACTGGCTCAAATGGTATTTCTCTGCCTACAAGAGACGGGAGGGATCCTTCTGGGCTTGTGTGCATCTGCAACTACCCTACCACCTCTCAGGTAGGCAGACACTAACAGAGCTGGAGTGCACAGAGCCCCAGATTTGATGCCAGGCAGTGTTGGTGTCCCCCAGTGATCACAAAAACACTACCCCAACCCACCAGGAGCTTTTGGGTTAGGGCCCAGGCCTGGGTATTGTGTTAAAGCTACCCGGGTGCTTCTAATGTGCCATGAACATTAAACACCATGGCCCTAGTGGGTTAATTTACTAAGGTGTCATTTGGATGTGGCCTTGGAGAGAGGCCATACAAAAGCAGAGAGGACTGGATTGACTGAGGCCAAGTGGGAGCATGGCCCTGGGCCTTGTGAGAAAGTGATTCTGCGCCAGCATGAAGGAACATGGAACATGTAGCAAGCAGTTCTTGGCAAAGGACAGTGAGGTCAGTGGGTAGCCTTCTTTCAAGTTCATGGTAAAACAATCTGTGATCAGACATTTCAGGCTGGGAAAATGCCCTGTGATAGCAGCTTGCTATCAAGATACTAGGATTTCACAAAACAGCAGAACCCACTGTTGACGCTGATGCCGGGGGCCCTGCAGCTCTCTTCAGCACAAAAGGCTCCCAGCCTCTTCCATCAGAGGAAGTGGGCTGACGCACATGGCGCGCCAGGCCTTAGCAGAACAAATCCACGGGAGAGCCGCAGCCCGTTAGATGATGTGTACTCTGCTTTAGGAACGCATTTCACAGGCTTTTCTGTCTTTGTGGTGGTTCTGCAGCTTTATGGTGGGTGAAAGCTTGGGAGCCCACGCCGATCCTCCTGTCCTGCCCTTCTTTTTACTGGAAACTGAAGTTCTTGTCCTCGATGTCTTTAAGCGGAGTTTGGGAGTTTCTTACCTCCCATTCAAGTGCCTCTGAAATTCATTTGGATTTCCAGCGTGGGGGGCGGGGGTGACTTGCCTCCCAGCAGAGGACTGAGTTGCTGTTGTTTTTAACTCTGACCCAGTGAATATGTTGACATTACAATATTATTTACTGGCTGCCGTTTATTGATGTGAGCATGTGCTAGGTCTCTGCTGCTGGCCTTACGTTTGCTGTGTTGAATGCCAGTACCAACTCTTCAAGGATATTGCTATTCCCATTTGACTGTGGAGAACACTAAGAGCACACATAATTTAATTCGAGTTTGAAATGCAGTCCTAACCCAGAGAGTCTGCACGAGTCCCACAACGCCACGTGGCCAGTGACAAGCCAGCAGAGCTGGCGATGGGTGCCCCGGCCTGCTTCTCTCCCTGTGCCCTGTGGCCACGTTCTCTGTCCCATGACCTTGACCTGGGGCCTTTCAGACCCATTCCGTCTTTCTCCCCTCAGAGCTGTGCCCGGTAGAACTCTACCACCCCAGCTTTGGGAACAGCCTGGCTGTTTACAATTTATTTTTCTGGGAAACAGTGCTACATCTCACCTGTTTTTAATGGAGTTTCATTTTGCTACCCGGCATCTCCTTCCTTCCTGTGGTTTAGAAGGAAGAAAACACTGTTAAGCTCAGCCCGAGCTCCGAACAGATGTTGTGCGTGTCTCTGAGTCCTGGCCTTGGCCTGCCAGCATTGCTGTGCCCATGCCAAATGCTTCCGGATAGCATGCAATAAACAGAAACTGAAGATGGGGTCAATCCACCCACGTCCTTCTGTTCTGCTTCTTAAGCACATTAGCATCTGGACTCTAGGAGATGCCACCTGCTCTCAGGAAAGCCAGTGGCAGGAGGCGAAATGCAGGTGTTGTCTGTTTTCATGAACCTGACCGTGTAAAAATCTGAATGGGATCATACCAACCTGAAGAAGTGGCTATCTTTTATGAGGAGTTTTCATTTTAAAGAAAGATTTGCCAGGAATCCTTTGCCAGTTCACTTTCCCCTTGTATTAAAAAAAAAAGAAAAGAAAGAAAATGGTGGCTCAATGGCAAGAGTGTGACTTACACACAACTTTTTAAAACTACCTCTGTAACAAATCAGATGGCAAAACACACAAGAGCTGTATGGAAAGCACACTGCAAGGGTTTTCCATCAAAGTCAGTGTAAGAGTAGGGGTCAGGGCAAAAGAGACTCCAGGAAGGATTGGGAACATAGCTGTGTCTCTGCCCAGGAGGGGTCACGGTGCAGTCAGTCAGATAATATTCATGAACTTCTCAAATGTGTAGTGTGCTACACTGGATTCAGTTAAAAACATAATCACAGGCGACAGTGTCACACCCCACTTGGCTTGTCTTGAGACACACGAGGAAGGGGACTATACAAGGTGACCTTTCCAGGTCTCCCCGCGGGAGTGTGACTCTGTGAACGACTAGCAGTAGCTTCAGTGCCTGGAGTCTGACAGTGTTCCAGGTCAGCCCTGAGAAGGGACTGTGTGAGACGGAGGCACGCTGTACAGATCTTCTGCGCTCTCAGCATGCTGTCGGAGGCGAAGTCTTCCCAGATCCCGCACTGCAGGGGAGCTGTGTTAGCCTGGGATGGGGCCAGGGCATGGGGAGCGGAGAGAGGGGTCTGTGGAATAAGACCCAGTAGAAGGCACACACCAGGTCTCAAGTATTTGCAAGCATTTGGAGGCAGGGCAGGAGAGGGTGGATGGAGAGCAATGTGGAGAATTGTAAAGAAAGTCTCACCTGAGCCCTGCTCTCCTAAAAGGCTGAAGGTCTTGTCTCTTAACCCACTTCATCTGCCTGCCGCCCTGCTCGGTACCATGCTCACAAGATGACACCTTCCCATTAAGAGAGACCTCAAACATTTTAACTGATAATGGAGATATGAAACAAAGAAGTACGATTTCTTGAAAACAAACCTCCCAGGTGCTCCCAGGGCTCCACCAGTCCCTGACAAGAATGGATAAATGGCAAGGTCTGGAACTTTTTATCCAGGCCGTGATAACTGCAAACCGAAGCAGGATCCCTTTAAGTATTTATTCATGGGTTCATTTTCCTATCATCCTATCGTGAAATAGCCTCCCTTACCTGAGCAGTCTTCAGGCTGTATATAAAGCAGGGCCAGGCTGCAGTGCAAGCTCACTGCTGTCATCCTGCTGATGACAATCTAGCAACGGAAATTCTAGGAGAGAAAATGAAAAAAAAAGAGAATGAGGCAGTCATCCTAGAAAAATATTGCACAAGAGAAGACTACAAAAAATTTCAATGCAAAGAAAAAATATAGACCACATAATCTATATTGTTTGCAAAGACAGAGAAAACATTTCATTTATAGAGGTAGACAAAGTGATACAGGAAATATATCTGCTCCATGCAAACTTATTAAATGAAACTTTCTCTCTTTCTTTCTTTTAGATAAAAAACCTCTTCATGAAATAAAACCCCAAAGTAAGTTATTTTTGCTCTTGTGGATACAATTGATTCTCATATTTGCTGCCTTACTGTTGTGTTTGTGGAGGAGCCAAAGAGCACTGAAGTTGGTATGAGAGATCCAGGGCTTGGGGCTCCTTCTTCTTGGGTTTGGAAGCACGTATCAGAGGCTGGCATTGCGAAAGAAATACGCACACCCCTCCCTTCCCTCAGAGTGAAAGTGAATCTTTCCTCTTGAATTCCACCTGCCTATAAGTCCATTCCTCTGCAAATGTCATCTTATTTCTGAGGAGATTTACAGCATGAAAATTAATAAATATTTGTCAGTGCACACTTTCATGAGAGCAGCCTTGGGCAAAAACCGGACCTGAAGCTTCTGTGCCCAGGAGGAGGGAGCGGCTGAGATGCAGACTGTGAGAGCCATGGCAGCTGGGCAGATTAGGATGCAGTATTCAACAGTGAATTTATCAGGGACTGCAAATCTTGGTGTCGGGGCTGGCTGGAGCTCTGGACACAGGCTTGCTTCGTGGAGACAATTTTGCATTATCTCCGTCTTTGGCATGCAGTAGATGTGGGACAGGTGCACAGCGTGGCATTTGACCCTATGGTTCTCAGCCTTGGCTGAACTTTAGAGCCACCCGGGGACCTTTTTAAAAACCCAGTCCCCAGGCTATTGCCCTAGACCAGTGAAACCAGAATTGGGGTGGTTTAGAATCCATGAATCCTTTAAAGATCCTCATACGATTGCACTGTGCAGCTCAGGTTGTGGACCACTGTCTTAGGAAGGTGTTTCTCAAAAGGTGGATCAGCAGCCCCATGCATTAGAGTCTGAGAGCGTGGGGGGTGCTTCTTAAACTCCCTTTTTCACAACAAATGACTTAGAAAACTGGTGCAGGGTGGAGGGGGTCTCCTGAGAATCTATGTTTTAACATGTCCCCCAAATGTTCTCAAGTGCTCAAAGATACGGATAGTATACTAGCAAAACCTCCAGCTCGAAGGGTGTCAGCAGGCAGGTAGGAGCAGATATATAGCCGCTTGGCCGGTTTGAGTTGTATTGTAGAAGTTGGCCCTGTGCACTATCTCCCATTTCTGTATAAAATGGTCACTGATCTTTTAAATCCTAGACTATTAAAATTCAAAAAGCTTAAGAGAGTCAATCAATTTAATTAGCTAACTTCTTTGCAAGAATGAAGACCGGTTGAAATGGACAGAAACAGGTCACTTGGGACAAGGGGTCCGGGGACTTGAGAGAAAGGGCCAGTCAAGCTGTGATGTTCACACTTCAGTATGTTGCTTCAGGCCAGCTCAAGATAGAAAGATGTCACTGTTTGCCAAGTCTGAGAACTTTGCGGCACGACAAACACTTCCTTAACGTCTTCTCCCTGCTGTGTGCTGCTGCTCAAGTCACGTGTTGGTACTTAGGTAGCAGCCCTCTGACGTCGTCGTGCACGCTTGATTTCGAATCCGTGGTAAGATTGTAGGTGGAGGAATCCAGTTGTGTATGTGTGTGTTTGTGCATCTGTGCATGTTGAGAGAGGGAGAGAGAGACAGAGGTCACTGAATATTGGGCTTGTTCAGAATGACAGCTACAGTAGGTGGACTGGCAAGGAGCTTGCGTCACTGACTGCCTGCCACCCACTGGTTCTCACGGGCAGCACAGACAAGATCATGGCTATCCATGTGGTGCTGACGTGAGAGTTACTCAGAAGTGCATGTGTGTATTTTAAAAATTAATTTCACGCTTAGTTTGTGAGTCCTGTGCCATTCTAATTTGGTTACATCTGTACTTCTAGCCATAAACCCCACAGTAGCTATTTCCAGTCCTTAGGGACTCCTGAATTAGTTTTTGCTTGGGCTTCTCACTCCTGCACACCATGCTTAATTGCTGGATACTGCAACGGAATCGCTTAAACTGTTTTAATTTGTGATTTCCTAAAAATAAAACCTTAACGGAATCAATGTGATTGCAAAAGGCTCCCAGAGGAATCCAGTCAGGGTTCTAGAGGCTACCTGGTTGGGAGTGCATTATATAAATTCAGGTTGTGGTGGTTCAGGGAAGAGGGGGCACTTAGTTGAAGACTTCATGAATCATCACTGATGCAAAATCAAAGTCAATTATGAAGATAATTGAGGAACAACCTGTTCCTATATATAGCTGTACACGTACTCCTTCGCAAGGCCTGGTGGCTGGAAAACATCGCTCAGCCTTGCACGTGGGCCTCCTGAGCAGGCAGGCCAAGGAGCCAGCTTTATGTTGTGGGGAAGTGTAAAAAAGGAAGTGAAGTCTTGAGATATCTGTTGGCAAATCATAATGACAAACTGGGGAAAATGTGTGCACTGCATAGCTCATGAAAGCACTTATTGTAAATGAGATAATTTAATCAATTACGTCTCCTAATGTACTAAACCGAATGTTTCATTTTCTGCTTCTGCACATCTTAAATTATCTTCAGGTGCTTTATGAGATTTAATCATAGTTAATAGAAACTTCATTACCATCAAATGTGCTTTCAATAAATGTTGTGTAACAATGTCAGGAGGTGCAGTAAAATATAGTAGGTTCTGAATGGCAAACACACACCCCCAGAGTCAGACTGAGAAATGGTTGTGTTCAGACAAAGAGACTACTTGTGGCTTAGGGATGTGGCTTTCTGATAGTCTATGAGCTCCTAAGAAGTGGCTAATTCAGCAAGCTCACCTTGTGGATGAAAGGGATTTAGCTTCTCCCTGGAACATAACCCAGAACCACATAGCCTCTCTCCGTCTCCTTTTTCCATAGTTGTTTTGTACCAGACAGAGGTGCATGCTAGGCACGAGTCCAATTAATTGTCCTAGAGTCAGCTAACTGCAGGACATCTGCAGTTGATTCTCTCCCAGTAACCTTAATATCAACTTTTTCAAAATTGAATTTATCCTTCTCTGTCCCTGTTCCTAAGCAGGCCCCTCCCATCTTATCCATTTCAGTGGATAGGATACCATCAAGTCAGTGGTCTAGCTCCAAAGCTTCAACAGCTGCCTAGACTCGTCTGCCTTTTTCCTTTCCCTTGTCCCGCTCTATACCCCATAAATCAGCACAGTCTTAACTATCCTACCACCTAAACAGACCTCAAGGTCATCAGCTTCTTTCCATTTTCACTCTACTCAAATCCGTCTCTCCATTAATTGAACAACTCGGTATTGAGGGCATGCCCTGTGCCAGGAAAAGGTGGTGGAGAATCAGCTCTGAGCAAAACAGACCCAGTATCCACTTCCACAAAGCTTACGGTTCCCGTGAGGGGAGCTGAAAACAAACCAGGACGTGTAAGGCACAAAGTGCTCCAGGAGGGTGGTCAGTGATGTGAAGAGAAATGAATCAGGGTGAGGGGCTCAGGCAGGACTGGAGGAAAGGTTTATTTTTTTGTAGAAGGTGCTCAGAGAAGGCGTCTGTAGTAAAATGATATATAAGAGACACTAAGAGAAGCAAGGAGACAAACATCTGGATGTCTGGGAACAGCAGGCTGCCAAGCCTGCGAGGCGGGAGCTCGCTCACAGCGTCAGGACCAGCAAGACGGCCAGGGGACAGGGAGCAGAGTGGCAAATGCAAGTCATAATAGCTACGATCTGAGTTACGGGCTGAGGGGAATACCGGCAAATGCCTTGGTAATGCCTTTGACCTTTACTCTGAGCAAGATGGGAAGTCATCAAGGGATTTTAGTCATACTGCTATGACCGAATATTTTCAACAATAAATTCTACCTGCCATGTTGCATGTAAACATGCAGGGGAATTGTAAAATGACATATTTGGATACCTTTTGAAGGCAGAGAGGATTCACCGATGGATTGGGTAAAGAGTATGAGAGGAAGAAAAGTGTTAGGGGCGATTCCAGAAATGTAGCTCTGCACTAGACAGATGGAGTTGCCATTACTGATGGGGAGAAAACTTGATGTAGTGGATCTGGAGGGAGAATTGAGAACTCCGTGTCACAAATGCTGAGAGGAACATACCTATTAAACATCTGTGTGGAGAGGCTGAGCACGCAGCTGAATATATGAGTCTGGAGGTCAGAGGAGAGTCCTGCCTGGTAACGTGAATCTGGGCTTGTCAGTGTCTGGATGATATTTAAAACCATTAGGTTGAAAGAGATTAAGGATAATGAATGTGGATGGGGAAGGGAAGGAAGCTGAGGCCTGAGCCCTAAAGGACGTCATCATTTAGATGTAGAGGGGGTCAGAAGTCACCACAGAGGGGACAGAAATGTAATAGCCAGCAAAGCACAAGAAAGCTAAATGAAACGAAAACGGTGTTCCAGGAGAAGAGTAAAAAGTTCAGGCCATCTTCATCCCGAGCCAGGATTCCTACAGTTGCCTCCCTGTATCCAGCTTATCTGATCTTTCTAGAACTTCAATTCTGGTCTGATCACCTGGTTTAAACCTTCTCAGCAGCTAGGTGTTATTTCTGAAAGTCCAAAGTGCTTAATATGTGTGTGAGCTGATCATGGCTTTCTTTTCTTAAGCACATCGGCTTCTCCCAGTCAGTTTCTCATTAGGAGTCTCCCCATCCGCTCGCCACTTGCAATATTATTTTTAGTTTCCCAGGTAGCCTAGAGCCGTTTCGGCATGCGACACCTCACGCGTTCTGTTACTTCTGCCTGAAAACTCTCCCTCCACCTAATCCTCAACCTCTTTAGTTGATTCTTCCTTCAGGTTTCAGCCTTGGTGTTACTTCTTCTGCAAGGTCTTCACCGACCTCCCCCCCCCGCTACTTGTGAGTCAGTCACTCCTATAGTCAAACCATGACTCCCAGTCACTCCCAATATGAAACAGATTTCCCTATTTCTGTTCTGTATTTTTATTGTCTTCCTTATTCTGATGCACATTTCCCTGCCTTCTGGGAGCCAGGATAGAGTCTTACTCATCCTCATCTCTGTGGCATTTACCACCATGCCTAGTGTGTATTAGATGTTCAATAAATCTTTGTAGCGTTTTGGTCTTACATCTTCTTGCTAACTCCTCACTGGGCCTTTTATAGTTAAGGTG